AAGGAACCCCTTCCAGCCGGCAAGGTACATCCTCACTGACTGGAAGGAACCCCTTCCAGCTGGCAAGGTACATCCTCGCTGACTGGAAGGAACCCCTTCCAGCGGGCAAGGTACATCCTCGCTGAATGGAAGGAACCCCTTCCAGCCGGTGCCTTGCCGAACTTTTAAAGGGCGGGTATCCGAGGATACCCGCCAGAACCAGTGGCTGTGGATGCGGGTTTGGATGCAAATTTCCCCGGAAAAAGTAGCCGGATATCCGGATGCGCCAGGGCCATCTCTAACGTGGAGAGTTGACGACAAGAACAACTAGCAGTCAATCATCAATTCATCATTCACTTGTCCAATCTGGACCCCACAACAATCCCCTTACTGGCTGACACCCCCACTGATCATCCACCACTTCCTTCTTCTCACTGCTCCAAGATGGCTAACCCATCATTGTCAAGCAAAGTATTGACTTAAAATGTTTTAAGATGACTCTTGGCCTTCCAAGAGTCCTATATATTGATGTCACAGCAGACAGAGAAGCCGCCGCAGAAGATTGTCGAGCTGTCTCCTGTACTTCTTACATGCCCAGCGAGTGATTGTTGCACAAGTCAAGGAGGAATCTAGAAAAACAAAGCACTAGCCAATATTCTTAACACATAAGCGGGCCTGGACTAGTTGCCAAGTCCTCCCTTATTTATTTATTTTTGGTTTCATCCTTGCTTGTTTCTTTTCTTTGCCTTTGTCCTTACTTGATCATCTTTTCCTCTGCTCTATCCCTAACAATCCCAAATAGCATTCCCTTTCAAATCCTTTGTTCTAAATCTGTGCCACTCAATATTTCCACTGTTCCTCTATTGTTAAAACCAAAAGGCAAATCCCTCAGAAAAAAACATAAAAAAATGAGAAATGCAATGAAAACAACAAAATTACAACCTGGTAACCTGGAAAACACAATCAAGACTATTGTGCAAGCTGCCCTGAGTTGGATGACCAAAAATGAGTGGAAATCATGGGAGGTGTGGCCATTAAAGCAGGCTTGATCAACCTGTTTTTTTGGCTCCAGGTGGTTAGACAGGTCGGCAACTTGCCATCAAAATGATTGTCAAAATGCGGTCAAATAGACAAGCCCGCTTTTGATTGTGGGCTCGCATTTGACAGCAATATGGCAACATGGGCGGTGCAACCAATTTCCTGATGGGGTGTTGGCGGGGAAGCTGTCAATTTGGTCATCAATATGCCGGCTGAACGGAGGCCTATTTTTTGCCGGTCAAAGCTGGCTGGGCGGGGTCCAAATTTTCAGTGATTTGCCAGCGGCCTGCAACCGCTGTGTAGAATGGAATTCACAAAAAAAAGTTGATTCTCACCCAAGGACCTACACCACCATTTCTGGTGACAAGAAAAGGAAAAATATATATAGCATACATATGAAGCTTGGATCAGTTTTCTTTTTGAATTTTTTGTAATCTTTGGCTTTGATTTCACAAATCCCATATTTTCATTTTCTCAGTCGGGTTTTATCTTGGCAGATGTCAGATAACACCCAGGGTCCAGGGATAAGACCACCTCTGGAGCCATGTTGCTCCAGTAGATGCTCTTGGAGTATAATTAAAAAAAAACAAGGTTCATATTTGGAACCAGAGCAGTTTGTAGGTCCAACAAGCCGCTCACTGGGACCAAGGGTGTAACAGATACAATACATACTCTGTGTGTATCATAGAGAATTCTGCAAAGCTGGATGGCCAAAAACTCAATTATTGCATTTCCTTGCAAATACAAGCACATTGGCCAGATAATCTTTTCATTGCGGTTCAGATAAATGGAGTGATACATGGCAGATGCATGGAAGATACTGTATCTGTTTCATTGTCAGTGGGACTGCTGGTCACTCCCTTCTGCCCCATTGGTGGTGCTGACCAAGCACTGGACCCTCACATGAGCTGAGAAGAAACTTGAAAGCAATGGGACACCTGAGGCATCTGGAGGCACTGGCATGCCAAACAAGCCAAAAAAATTAAAAAACACATTTTGATGCCCCTGAAGTGCCAAACAACCCAAGGAAAAATCAAAACCACATTTTAACAACCAGTTTTTTGAAATACATACACGCCTCTGACATGTGTATACAAGCCAAAAAAAATTAAAAAAAAACACATTTTGATGCCCCTGAAGTGCCAAACAAGCCAAGGAAAAATCAAACCCACATTTTAATAACCAGTTTTTTTAAATACATACACGCCTCTGAAATGTGTATACTGGCCAGGCTGTATTCAATTGAATAGGGCTGCCAAACATGGTACCAAGACAAAACAGTCATTACATATACAGCCATTTTGAGAAAGCTTGCGGTTTTGTAACACAGCTCAACTTGGGTGGTTCTAGCAGTCAAACCAAACGGGATTACAGCCCAGATGGCAAATGCCTCCTCCAAATATCAAGGGATACTTGAGAGGCACTGGAAGAATGCTGAGATGAAGGACTACATAGTGCTTGAGAGTCAGACAAACATCATTTTTGGCTCCAAGGGTACCGGGCCGCAATTGCCAACAGACCAGCAAGATCCCTGTGGGACTCAGCAAGATTGAGAAGGCTGACTAGAGATGGCCCCGTGCCATCCTAGAGATTGTTCGTTTGTACTCGGGTACCTGTTGAATTTTTTCAGAAAATAGGTACCAAGTACCGCACCAGGCACCTCCTGTAGAGACAGACAAAATGAAGATGTGTCTGGTGAGATTCAAACTCATGACCTCATCTAAGCTGAGACACATACTAGAGTGCTGCCTTTACCAACTAGGCTACAGACGCTTGTGACTGCCAGGGTATTTGGGTGGTAGTGCTCATGGTTTGACATGTAGTGATACATCATGGTAGCAGACTATCAGACACCTCAACACCTCTCGGAGAGTACCGGCTGTACTTTTGGCAGGTACCACATTTACTTCCCCTCTCTTTCTCACCTAGTTTCACTCCCAGAGTCCCAAGTCACTTTCTTCATAATTACTGTACCCTTGAAGTCAACCTCTTGATGTTTTCTTTCTTATTTTTTTAATAAAACAATTATCTTGATGTGAAGATTTGTGGTCCAAAAGTCTTTCAAATTTTGTATTCTCTTCCTCTTTATTTATGTGTGATCAATTTTTGACTTTTTTTTCTTCTCTTTCAAGTTTAGCCTTCATTATGTTTTCCCCCCTCCCTTTCTTCAACTGTCACCTTTTTTCAAATATTTTCTTATTTTCTAGAACCCTCCTGATGAGCTGGATTAAAAACCAGCTCATTGGGAGGAGACCCTTCAAAACCATTGAAGGAATGGTGAATACTTGCAGCATCTGGAAGGTTAATTAATGATTATTCTTCACACAAGAATGCGAAAATATTTGCTGAATCGTGTGCACTAAGAATATTTTTCATTATTTAAATTGACTTAAAAGACATTTGTTTGTTGAACCATTTCTCAAGGGATTTTCTCAGGGTAAGTTATTTTATCCTGGCTGATTGGGAAATTTCTCCCAATTTATTTTGAACCATCAGGTTTTAGTCCTGATTTGGTATCCTCATATTTATTGTTGTTCACT